GAAAATAAACAGCTCTGTTCCATAAATGTAATACAATGTAAGTCAATAAATCCAGTTTCAATGCCGAACTATCACAGTTWTCTTGAGGTACCATAACTCCCTCACTAACCACCAAAAAAGCAGGGAAATCAATACCATATATGAAACACATCAGAGCTAATGAAGCGAATGGCAACATATCATCYATTTAATCCCATCTTTACGTATTGAATGAAGGCGGAAAGTACGTATAATTCGCAAATAAGATCGAACGAATTCTGTTCGGTTTGGGTCACTGTTAATAGCAGAGACATATACCATCCATTATCCACTAACCGTATATATTATGAGCAACAGAGGGAAATTCTCATATTTGTAGCAAAAAATCGACCAGATTTCATCCGGCTTAACTCCATGTTATAAGCAGAGACATATACTATATATTATYATCCAATCTTATGTTACGAAACCTTGTCTTTCGAAATCCTCATATTCGGAGCAAAAAATCGACCCGGCTTGGATTGGTTGGAATCACTGCTGACAGCGGAGACTTATACCATGCATTATCCACCAACCATATATTATGAGAGATAGTGGAAAATCCTCACTTTCGGAAAGCAGCAGTTACCGAACGGCCTTGTAACGGTTTGGCTCAATGTTAAAAGCAGAAATATGTACTATATATGTATTATCACTTAACCTTATATTATTGAAAACTGGAAGAAATACTCAAATGCGGAGTGAAAATTTGACCCGGCTTGGGTCATTTGGAAACACTGTTGATAGCTGAGACTTATACCATTAAGAACAKAGAAACCTAATGTAAAATACATAAGCTCATAATATTCAAGCTCCTTTAAGATTTGGCATGATTGCATTCCAAGCACGTTTATGGAAGTTGTATGATGTCAGAGTTATATATAGTATTTTGTCTCTCTGTAGTACAAAGTATCCAGAATACCATGTATGGTCAACCCTTCGCTTTCACAGACAGACGAATATCCGAAAAGTAATTGTTTTCGTGGTTATGATAACTCTAAATGGAACTATAGTATACAGGTATATCGGTATATATCAAAGTACTTTAGTTGAAAGAGAATAGTTCGATATAAAGGGTTTACAGTCAAAACTCATGGATTGATTTTCGGAAGTTCGATGAAGTCAGTTCACGGTAAAAGYTAATGAATTTATTCTATACCAGATCGAAGCTGTGATAATGTTATGTTTAATCGACCTAYAATCTTTCAATTGTGCTACCTTTTCTCAGGTTAAAGAGGACCTAGAGAGTTCAGTAATAAACTATCCTCCATAAAAGTTAAACCCTTCCTGAAACTTTCTAACCATTTTCGATTACCAATTGGCCAGATATTTTCCAAAACTTTTAAAATTATTAATTGTACTTAACTTCTAATTAACTTTCCCCGCAACCTAATTTGGATCACACTGAAATAAATT